AGTGTTTGGGATATTTATAGCATGCTATAAAATTGGTTATATATTATGAAAAAATAATTTTACTATCATGATTGTAAAAGGTAAACTTTCAGTACAAATTTTTTTGGAAAGCAATGAAAAAATAACAAAAAATGAAATCAAATGAAATTGTAGTAGTTATTTAGAAAATCAAGCAACTAAATAGTTATTCCAAACATACCCTTATTCTTTATTTGAAATGAATTTTTGATTATTTGTCATAAAAATAGTAAGTATAAAATAATATATATTTAAAAGTCAATTTATTCATAACTATTTCAAAATTCTACTTCTAAAAAATTATTAAAAAATATTTTTAAAACTGAAGTTAAAAGAAAAAAAAAACCTTTAAAAATGATAATAGATTAATTAAAACCAAGCCGAACAAAACCTAGGGTAATACTAGAAAGTTGTTCCATTAAATACATGAAATGCATTTAAATGTTCTATAATTTTTATTGTAAGACCCTTCTAAAAGTAGTACATGTTACTTATCTTGTATTTTTAGAAAAATATATATAATTTTTTTTTATATTTTATATATTATCTTAAAATTTATTATCTTACTATAATAGTTATCATGAATGTCCTTTTAAAAAAAAAATATCTTTAAAATTTAATACTTTATCTTCAAAATAATTAAAATTATATTCCTTTGTTATACAAATTCTAGATCTAAGATGAATTAATCAAACACATATTCATAGTTTTAATTATCATGTATTATAATTCAAAAATAACTAACATTATTATTATTTTTATTAAAACCTCATCATATTCAGGAATATAACTCACTAATTCGTCAAAGGATTTCTTTCTTGTGAGAGCTGAGCAACACATCTCAAAGACTCCCAATACCTTTGAACTCTGTGTTACGCCTTACATATCAAAACACACGAAAAGAGGTAAAAAATCGGTGAATTAAGCGGCGCGCTATGCTGACATTCAGCACGACACATTACTTGAAAGGTCAAATGACCTCTAATTGCTGAATGGACTACGCCGTTGCAATCAAGACGTCAAATTCTCCTAAGGGAAAACCCCTTGCAATCAAATCAGATGAGATCGGTCAAAAGAGACGACTGACACTAAAATTGATGCACAACATAAATGAAACACATACTATGATAATGCAAAATAATCATAAATACAGACCAGAAAAAATGCTACAACAATACAAGCAACGAAAAAAAGTAAAAAAATTTACATTGACAAAAAATTACAAGGCCCTGTTTCAGTCTCAACTTGGCAATACAATTTATTTGAAAGGGGACTCTGCATCTCCATTTTTTTTACAGGCTCATACACAACATATAAGCCAATCAAGCGTTTTGTAATGAAAGCAGAAACTGATGAGCAGCTTCCACCTCACTTCTGCAATATCACCTGCTCATAGTTGAAGATAAATAGAAGTTCCAAAATATGGAGCAGGTTGACATGAAGGCGACACGAGCAGGGAGAGGCACTATCCTGGATAAAGAAAACTTATAAATCCAGTTCAAAAGACATAAAATTTAGCAAGGTAGTGGATCATGATAGAGGGTAATCTTGAGAAGAAACCATGTAATTGTTATATCTCACAAATATGTGCAAATGAGGTTCTTAAATCAAAATAGTTAACATGAGAAACTAAGGCTTGCTTTCTTACCGCTTCTTAAAGCAGCTTTCTAGTACAAAAATTTAAATTTTTTAACTAAAAAACTGCTTTAAGAAGCGGTAAGAAAGCCGTCCCAAACGAAACCTGAATGTATAACGATCAAAATGCAAGATGCTAATGATTCAAAACAAGCTAATGCAGCTGATTACTAACCCAAAGTTCAAAATGGTAACAGGAATCCAAAACCTAAAGCCTGCACCATGAAGTTTATATTGCAATGGTCAGTGAATTCTTTTCAAATTTAAAGAGTAGAGAGAATTGAAAGTTTGTTACCATAGAGGAGTGTGGGAAGGGCGTCGTTTTGATACTTAGCCGGAAGCTCGGATAACTTTCCTAACCATAAATTGTTCCATGCAAAAATAACAGCAATAACACATGGGCCAAGTACAATCTGGTTTAATATGACCTGAAATTAGATGAAGAAAGGTGTTGAAAGCATAATACATATGGGAAAACCCTTGACTTAGCTTCTACATTTTCAATACTCTGTACTTGCCTTTGTTGAGAGTGTAATAAATGTTTGTTTGGGCATAAATTGGTCTAGCAATTGGTACCATGCATAAGAGCCTGGGCCATACAAAAGAAATCCATAGGAAGCCATCCGTAGAGATCTAAGCCAATCATGATTTGACCAAAAAGATGCTTCCTGGGAGCAAATATATTTTTTATTTATGAGATTTCCAATACAACCAATAATAATCATATAAATGTTCATTAAACATGAAAACACTTGCCATGCCAAAAATTTCAATTTGCTCCACTCATAAATTATTTGTTTTTATATCATAAAAGCAGGCCGTTACAGGAATGTTGATTTTGCAGATGTCTGTCACAACTTACTTTCTCGTCACTTTCTTCTCCCATTATAAAATATTAACAACCCTTCCTAGATATTTTCTTCTCTACAACCTTTTTTGCAGTATTCAATCCCTTGGATCCCTCTTAAATTTCTCTCTATTGCTAATGCAGCAAAAGATTCTATGCCATATAAAATTCAAGCAAGTGTCTCCTTAGATGGGGATATTATTAATAGAATTCGAGTTGGTTGGTTGAAGTGGAGGAATTCGTTGGGCCTGTTGTGTGACAAAAAAATACCCCTCAAATCTAAGGAAAAATGCTATAAGATAATGGGGAAACTTGCAATGCTTTATGATGCAGAATGTTAGTCATTAAAAGAGAAGCATAAAATTAAGTGTTGCATAGATGAGGATGCTCAGGTGGATGAGTGGCTTAACGCTTAGAGAAAGAATATGAAACGAGAGAGAGTCGCCTTAGATGATTTGGTCATATAAAACGCCGGCCTTCTAATGACTGTTAAAAAGACTTGACTAGATTTGGCCTATGTTAAGAAAGGAAGAGGAAATGCTAAAAAGACTTGACTAGAAACTATTGTAAATGACATTTTTTCTATTATATTTAAATAAGAATTTGGCTGTTAACATGACACAATGAAGAATAATGATTCATGTAACCGACCCTATAGAGTGGGATGAAAGGCTTGATGTTGTTTTTGTTATTGTTGTTGCTGATGCAGCATAAGATTTTGTTCCATATAAAATTTCAAGCATGTGTGCTTTTCATACTCTACTTATTTTCAATATATAATAAAAGAAATAATATATTTCTTTTAATGTCAAAATAGTTTAGGTAGGTATTAGAAGCCTTGATCCGAAGCCTTGATCCTATAGTATTAGAAGCCTTGATCCGAAGCCTTGATCCTATACAAGGGATTCTATTGTTGTATTTTAAGACAACATGATTGATGCTGAATCTGACATTTTATTGCCACTTCCACTTTAAATGCTTCATATTCTCTTCTGTTTTTGTATCTTCTTCTCCTCCTCATTCTACTTCGTCTATCCTTTCTTCACTAATATGGATGAGAATTTTGTCCTGCATCGCTCTCACATCTAGCACTCTAAGGCTTTGTTTGAATTGAACAAAAGTGTAGGAACTAAAGAGGTTGTTTGATTGCAAGTTATTAAAATTCATGAGTATCTATAATACAATGTAAAATATATGAAATACATTTGAAATACTTAGAGTTGTCTAGTTGAGGGGCCATTTGTTGAAAAAGAAATGGAGTAAATTGAAATACATTGTAAAAGAAATACAATGTATTTGAAATATTTACAATTATTTAAATAAATATAAAATAAATGTAAATGATTATATTTTTTATTTTCTTTAAAGTAAAATAAATGCAGTGCAAAGCTCAATGATGATGATGGCCAGTGATGATGAATGATAACAATAGGTGGCTAATAGCGCCAGTAGTGGGCATCTACTGGTGGGGGTTGACAACAGACTGTGATAACAATAGTCAACATTGAGAGTAGAGTCAGTTTACGGTGTATTTGGAATTCATTCAAAACAGATAAGTTTTGAATGGATAAAAAATGAATTATATAATGAATTTGAAATTCATCAAATATTTACTTTGTATTCCTTTTTCATCAAATCAAACACAAAAATTCCTAAAATCCATGAATTTTGAATACTTTACACTTATCATCAAACCAAATGGCAGCTAAATGTAAATTAATATCAATTTCTTCTATTTGGTTGAAAGTAAAGTGAATCTAACTCTTAAAATAATAATAATAATAATAAACTATCTTGTGGCACTTACAAAAGTGGCATGAAGGCAGAGTGAGGGTCGCAAGGATGAAGCTAGAGGTCATTGAATTGGGAGGATATTGCGATCTTGACGATATATTGTGTGTTGGGTTCATGAAGGAAAGTGTCGGCAAGCTAAAGGCATTGCTAGAGAGGGAAGAGGATGCTGTCTCGATGAGATTGCATGAGAAGGCATCACAAGTGACCATTGTCATTATCCGGGGGCTTTGAATGAGGTCATGAGGTAGTTTAGAGGCGTGAAGGGAAAAAGGTTATGCTAGGGAGGAAAGGTCATGAATGCAGAGCATTTGGAATTTACCCGAATTTGATGATTTTTAATGCATTCAAATTGAACTATGTGTTAAGTTTTAAATCCCTCAACAAGTTATTTTGAATTTATTTTTCCTCCAACAAAACACTTAAATTTTCAAAACCACTGTATTTGACTTACACTAACTCCTAAGGCTTGTAGCCTAAGAAATTAATTCTTTTTTTACAAGGTTCTAAATCTTGGATCCCCACTTCAAAGATAAAAAATATCACTCAACCAAGCACTTGGTGGATGACCTAAGGTAAAATAGATAGAGATTGTTCAAAATAATTTATGAAGAATTGGTTTAACAACTCAAGCTACACTCAATAGATACGAATGAAAAATGAGAAATCCAAATAGTTTGGATAAAAACACGATGATGATTTTGAAATATGCTTATCTAATTATTCTAAGTTTATCTCTCAAATATCTTCTTAAAAAAGAAATAAAATTTCCGTTTGAGAAATAAAAACATTTTTATGACAAATTTCCTAGAAAAATCTCCTGATGAAATTTTAGCAATTTATTTGATGTTACAAGTCTGGAAATTGAAATTTATTTTTCTTTTTCATAAGTTCTTATATTTAAAAATTCTCTCATTTTTCCAAAGTATCAAGCAGTACGTAACCATATAATGTATCAATTTTTTTTCGAAGAAATGCCAATAAGAAATAACCTACCAGCAATAACTACTAAGAATGAACAAAACTAGAAACATTATTGTTTAAAAAAAAATGTAACATGGTCATCTTTGTATTACCGTACCAAGTATTTCTATCTTCAATTAAAACTCTATGTAGATATGACAAAAAGTTGAAGTTGAGTTAGGTGTGAAGAGGATGCAAAAGGTAAAAGTTTTAAACAAGATAAGAAATCTGTTGGCATTTAGACAGTTACTAGAGACAGAAGAGTTGGTAGGTTAAACTATCTTTTTAATGGAATATTTATGCGTAAAAGTATACCAAATTTTGAAAAAGAAGGATTGTTTTACAAATATATATGAACAAAGAAGTGTTCAAGATTGCGATTATTATAGGGGGATTAAACTTATGAGCAATGATGTAACATAAACAATCATAAATTATATTAATATTAGAGAATCGATTTAATTTTATAACAGAAAGATCTAGGTGTGGTAGCAATTTTTTGCCACTTCAATGAATGAAAAAAATTTAGAGAGCAAGGACAAAACCTTCATATGATTATTATTAATCATGATTCTTGAAAAAGGCATAAGATATAGCATTATGAAAATCAGTTTGGTGAACTTTAAGAAACAAAAGACTTGCCAATTCATTAGAGCAGTTACCAGCATTAAAATAGTTATTGAGTGACAGAAGAGTTCCTAATAACAATAGGACTGAAAAAATGATCAAAATTAAGTTCATACAGTGTTCTGAAACCCAAACCGAACCATCCGATTCGACCAGTTGGAATGGTAATTGGTCACTTATCAAGTCTGATTTGATGGGATCTAAGAAAAGCTTATCGAGTTGTTGTGAACGATTACGAATCAGTGACCCAGTGTGAGACTTGATGACCAAATCAAACCATTTTCTCTTGTATTTTGCTAATTTTCAAGAAGGATTTCAATATTTCATCATAAGTAATTATATTTTACTTGATTATAACCTCATTATCATCAATGCCTTCCAATATTTAAAACAATACCAAGATACAGAACTCTAGTTCAGGAGCTGACCTTTGCGTCCACATCCAGTTGAGATCGGCCTCGCCCGAAAATCCGGTCTCTGAACTGTGCAATGGTGTCTCCAGTTAGAGCGAGGGAGGCAGCGATGGCCGCCTGCTTCACAGGGAAGTCGAAATGCGGCCACCCCCTTTCTTCTCGGAGGTTGATCGAGTCAGATGAAGAGGACTTGCACTTCCGCCTGCGTTTACAGCGGTCACCTCTCCCTTCACCCGCCGGAAAATTCCACCAGAAACCCCCGTTACCGAGGGCGCCCATATACGACGAAGAAGAACTAGAACCGACGACAAGAGCGGAAGGAGGCGGGAGAGTGGGATGCTGTACTGCTAAGCTCGCTTTAATAAGAACAGAACTGGATACTATTAGGGCCAGCAGCTCCGCTAGTTATGAACTGAGCCTGTAGCTCCCAGTCGGGGAATAACATTTACTATTTATAAAATTATTATTTCTTTATTTTCATTTTTTAAAATTTTATTTAAATATTTAAATTAATAATAAATTTTATTTGAGAAAAAATATTAAAATAATCTCAAGAATATTTTTTATATGACCAATTTAGTTTGAATTTTATAGAGTCAAAGTATTGAATTAGAGCAATGTTAAATCTTAGGACTAAAATGATCTTATATAAATAAATGGGATTGTTTTTAAATTTAGCCTACTTAAATTAAAATATCTTTTAATAATTTAATTATGACATAAATATATAGATTTTTATAATTAAAAATAAATATAAATGCTACTTACGTTTAAAATACTTCAAATCGAGGCCATAAATTCGAAAAGGAGCGCTCGGTCGGGCGGTGGCTCAGAGAGATCCGAGGGGATCGGAGGCACGGCTTTCCTTGCTTCGCTTTCTGCTGTGCAAGGTTTGGATTCGTTGTTCTCTTCTGCTATACTCGGTAGACGAAGATAAGATGGCTGGTTATCGGGCGGAGGACGATTACGACTACCTGTTCAAAGTGGTGCTGATCGGCGATTCCGGGGTGGGCAAGTCGAATCTCCTCTCGAGGTTCACGAGGAACGAGTTCAACCTTGAGTCCAAGTCCACCATCGGGGTAGAGTTCGCTACCAGGAGTTTGAATGTTGATGGCAAGATCATCAAGGCTCAAATATGGGATACGGCTGGCCAGGAAAGGTTAATTTTTCTCCATTGATCACTATCGATGCCTTTTTATATTTTTTTTATCTTCTTGGTGCTAGATTTCCTTTATATTATTATTTTGTTGGCGATTTTTGTTATTTTTATAAGATTTATTGGTGTTTGGTCGGGTCTAGAAATTTAGTTATAGTTTTTAACGGGCTGGCATTCTCTGTGCGATAATTCATGCTCTTAGAGTCTTAGATTTTTTTCTTTGAATTTAATTGATTTTTGTTGGTATTCGGAAAGGGCTGCATAATGGATGTGATCAACTAGATCTAATGCATTAATATGGCTTTTAACCTATTTGAATGGTCTATGCTATGGTGTTTTATATCTCGAGGTCTCGAACCGCAGGAGAATGATGATACCTGATCCATTTTGTTATTCTTTGGCCACCTGTTGCATGACCTTCTTTTGTTTGTTGTGTCAGTGTAGCTGATAGGATTAGAGTCCTATATTGGCTCACGGAGGCGCAGAACAAAGAGAGAGAAGAAAAATTGCAGGAAAAAAAGGAAAAATATTATTCCCTGAAGAGTTCATTACATGAAGTCTTTATTTGTAGCTTTAAAAGTTTAACTCGCTACGGTCAAGAAATAAACCTGAAACTTATTGAAATGGTTAACTTAAAATTTACATAAACTCCTTAGCCACATTAGCGGTACCCTGCCCTAGCTTGATCTCTTTAATAGTTGACTTTACCCGTATTAATTCCTCCCCCCTTAGAAAGGATAACCTTGCCCTCAAGGTTGAAATTGGTAAAGGACTTTATAAAATTTGAGAGAGAGACCGAAATGGAATCTTCCTTAGGCAAGCTTTCCTATTGGATCTGCAGTAGACGTTTCGTGGTGGTGTCTGTAAGAAGTTCGCAATATTGGGGGATAGTGATTGGCTGAATGAGTGGGTGATTTGCAATGTTTGCAAGCGGTAATGCGGCTTCAACAATGATACATGAAACATTAGATGAATCCTAGAATGTGGTTGTAGCTATACGGTAGGTAACAACTCTGATAATCATAATAGCTTTGTCTTTTCACCCGAATTTTGCAGTCTAGTGATGAAGTCCATGGATAAGTCTTCCCAAATGTTAGATGGAAGAGAAAGCGGTTGAAGTAAACCAAATAGAGGTAGAGGTTGATGTTTAATTACTTAGTAGAGTGGACATGTTTTAAGAAATTCTAATACCTCAATTTATTGTGTTGATAAAAAAATATAGGTTGAATATGATAAATTTTTTCATTTACCCCACCATGGCCCCACCTATTTTGCTTGGATAAAAGGCATGTAATATTGTAGAAATTAAATCTTGCTGATTCGGAACTATCCATTGAAGAAAGTTAGGCGCCGCCAACCTGAACTAATATGACCTCGAAATTTATGAGGATGAATAGAATTTTTTTGCAATGGGTCAAACAATGTCAAATCAGTGGCAATGGCTTGCCGAATATCCTCGATAATGGAATTGCCACATTTTTAAATAATTAGGGTAAGAATATGTGAGTCATCATCATGATTTTGTTGAGAGTGCATCTGCCACTTTATTAGACCCTCCTAGACTATACTCGATTATGTAATCAAACCCAAATAATTTAACTAGAAAGTGTTGTTTTTCATGTGTGAACTGTCTGATTTAACATTTCCTAAATGCTTTTTGGTTAGTTTTGATTCTAAATGTGGCGCTTAATAGATATAGGTTTCATTTGGAAATGGCTACGACGATTGCAAATAATTCACTTACATATGTGGAGGCTTGTTGTATATGTGAATTGAGTTTTTACTAAAGAGAGTGATAGGCTTTTGATCTTGAATTAAAATAGCACAAATGCATGTATCCGAAGCATCGATTTCTAATATAAATGGCTCAGAAAAAATTGGGAAGGGATAAAGGTGGTGGATTAGAGAGGCCTAATTTCAAGGCTTTAAAGAGTACATTGAATCGGAGTTCCAGTTAAAATTATCTTTTCAAAGCAAAGCTTTAAGTGGAGATGCTATTGTGGAAAATAGTTGAATAAATTGATGTCAATAACTTGCTAAACACATAAACCTTTGCAATTGTTTAATGTTTGTAGGTGTAGGATAATTTAAAGTTGCACCTATGTTTACCCATAATGAATCCCAAATAATCATTGGTATGTTTGCCAAAAATGCATTTAAATTTTCTAAAGAAAAACGAATTATTTTTAAGAAGTGTAAGAATCACATTGAGGTGATTGACATGATAGTTTAATGTTTTACTATAGGTAAGGATATCTTCAAAAAAAATACTAATGAACTTTCAAAGAAAAGGTTTTAAGAGTTTTTTTTTATTATATTTTGAAATCTAGCTGTAGCGTTGGATAATTCTAAAGGCATGATGATAAATCCATAATTGCTTTCTTGTCTTTAAAAAGCAGTTTATATACATCTGAATTAGCTATTTGAATCTATTGGTATCTTTAATGCAAATCTAATTTTGAAATAATTGTGTCAATATTAAGTTCATCTAAGAGTCATCCACAGTCAGAATGGGCATATTTTAGAAATCCTAATTTGTTTAAGGGTGCAATAGTTGACACGAAATCTCCAAGTATCATCTTTTTTTTTTTAACTAATACAACTAGGGAAGAAAAGTATCTAATACTTGGTTGAATAGTTCTAGGTGATAGCATATCGATCACCATACCTTCAATTTCGATTTTTTTGGAAGGGGGATATCAATAAGATTTTATGTTAATTTATTTGGATTGTGGAAAGGTGTGGATTTGATAGTCATCTATTCATTAAGGTGAAAGGTGAGTTGGTATTTTGAATAAACAATTAAAGTAGGATATAACTTCTTATAATCATTTTGGAATTATGTGGATGGGGAAAAGTCCAAAATGGTATATGGAGTGATTGCGAAAAGTTAAAATTAAGAAGAAATACTATATTGAGCATGAAGTTGATAGGAAATACTTGAGTTCGCAAGTAACGCTAAGGGAAATACTTGAGTTCGCAAGTAACCCTAAGGGAAATACTTGATTTCACAAGCAAATCTATCACTAATTGGTGAAAACAGTGAGAATAATGCAAAATCTGGGAAAAATCAGCCCCAAAACGATGGATTGCAATAAGAGAAAAAAGTCAAACAAACACGAGAACAAGATACAGATGGTATATGGAGTGATTGCGAAAAGTTAAAATTAAGAAGCAATACTATATTGAGCATGAAGCTGATAGGAAATACTTGAGTTTGCAAGTAACCCTAAGGGAAATACTTGAGTTCGCAAGTAACCCTGAGGGAAATACTTGAGTCCACAAGCAAATCTATCACTAATTGGTGAAAACAACGAGAATAATGCAAAATCTGGGAAAAATCAGCCCCAAAACGATGGATTGCAATAAGAGAAAAAAGTCAAATAAACACGAGAACAGGATACAAATGATTCTCAATTCGAGAGGAGGATCGTTCTCTCCCAAATCTCTAGTTAAAATAATTTAGAGCCAAAAAAGGATAAGAACTCCAAGAGAAAACCCAAATCATGCATGAGACAACCCTCTTTATATTTATGGGTGAAAACTCAATTTATAGGAGGATTTGTTTTATAATTATAATAACCCCTTTTGAAATTCTCGACAACCCTCTTTCAGATATAAAAAAATATATCCCAAGTCATCTAAAGTCCTAAGAGAAATTAAATTTCTCTTTAAATCAAGAACATGTCTTGCATTCTTAAGAATTCTCTCCTGACCATCATGCATCTTAGTTGTGATAGATCCTATACCAACGACATCACAAGTTTTGTTGTTTCCAAGTATGATCTTCCATCCCTTCAGACTTTTTGATAATTAGAGAATCATTCTCTGATAGGATTCATATGATAAGTGCACCCTGAATAAACAATTCATTCCGTAGAATTCTTATAATTACTAACAGTAAGAACATCAGCTTTATCATAGTTTTCTCCAATAATTGCTTCATCCCCTTGAGATTGAGATTTTTCTTTTGACACATTTTTAGGACAAATTTTTCTGTTGTGATCAGTCTTATTACACTGCAAGCATTTAAATTTTTTATAGTCTTTCTTAGAAGTTGACTTACTTTTACTTTTAGATTTCTGTTTTCTTGAAACCATTTCACCACGAACATGTAACCCTTCCCCTTCATAATTCATTTTAGAAGTTTTCCTGTCCAAAATCTTAGAAGAAATAGCATTTTGAACTTTATCCATTGTTATAGTCTCTCTTTCATATTTCAATATTTCTTTGAAATTCTTTAAAGATTTTGGTTAATAATTTAATAGAATGATTGCCTTATCTTCATCCTCAATCCAACCTCAAGGTTTTCAAAATCCAAGATAAATTTATTAAATTCATCTAAATTATCATCAATGGATTTTATTTCATCCATTTTGTTTTCCTTCAAATATATCCTATTAGGAAGTGTTTTTTTGTCTATACAGTTCTTTTAATTTTCTCCACAATTCATATACAAATTTTACATGAGATATTTTTCTCAAAACCTGATCTGCTAAGCACAAGATGATAGAACTAAAGACATTTTTCTATATATTATTCTTTTTCTTGACCAGACATTGATATAGGCATTTCTGATTCAGGTATCAAAACCTTTTCAAACTCTTGTGGAATTAATATTTCTTCAAATTAATATTAGATATGCGATTTATGATTTTTACATAGATATTTTGCATATCATTGATAATGATCAATAGGAAATTTGATGCTTGGTGGTTAATAAATAACTATACTGTAATGACATGGTACAACTAAGCAATATATGTAGTTTGTTGCACAATTTTCAAGGAAGATTTCGAGGAGAAAGGACTTAATTCTTCTTCTATTCTTCGAATGAGAAAAAAATTTCACATACTACACTGAACTTATACAACAGCAAGATCATTTCTTTTTATATAAAAAAGAATTTTATGCATAAAATGATTGCAATGCTAAATTACTTTTTCTTCCTTTAACTTTTGGGCATTATAATTTGCCACAAATTTTTATATTTAAACCCGTTAGCTTTTTACAAAATATTCATCTAAATTTCATCTTTAATGGCTTATTGCTAACCCAAATATTCAAGAAAACGAAAATGGGTTAATGCTGACCCAAATATTTAGGAAAACGATTGTGATGATAATTTTAGAGACCCATATGAAATATTTTCTGAAGTTTGAGGAACTTGTGAATATTAAAGTTAGGCCCTTTACCTCGGAGGAACTCGAGAGACCAAGTTGTAATTTATGCAAGATTTAATATTTTAATTTAATGCTTAAAGAGGGGTTGTAAGTATCTACTAGTTACAGATATATGAGGATTATATTTTTGCATAATCAACCTATTAAAAAATCATAATTCAATAATTTCAAATGAATAATTTAATAATTATGATATTATTATTATTATTATTATAAATTAATTCTTTTGATTTAACATTTAATTTTATAAATACTAAAATAAATTTGCTTATTTTAATATATTGTTATCTTATGACTCAAAATTTCATGAATCAATTAATCTCATATCATTTTATTATCTATTTATGAAATTTATATCGATTACTAATAGCTTAAATTAAATAATAAATAATTTGTTTAAAACTAACCTTACCTTCGTCTTCAAATTACCCGACGAGTCTTACCCTTGGCTTGTTGGTGCTCTCACTCAACTCTTTGCCAGCTTTTGCTCCTACAAGTATCTCTTTTGCTCCTGCTCCCTCTTTTTTTCTCTCTATTTCCATTCTTCTCCTCCTTCCTCTCGGTCATGACTTTCTATAGGTTGTTGCTTTCATTTGCTCGTTTGATTCCACTGAAGTGAATAAAAGTTATCTCCCACGAGTAGTCATTGCTTTTCACTCTTGCACATGTTTCCTCACTTATTTGTGTGATACGATCTCGTCAATTTCTCCTCCTCCCGAGCTCGGCCCACTGTTTCGCTAGTTGAACTTCGCCCGTGCTTTGGTTAGGTCCGGTTCAACTGAACCGGTCCAATCGGTTATTATTACATAGAACCTAACAGAAAAAGAAACTGTAATTCGAAAGTTTTTTTTTATTCCTTTTTCTTTGAAGAACACTAGACCCACTATTGAGATTAAAGATCCTTCATGAGACGAACACTAGACCCAATCTCTTCTATTGAGATGAAAGATCCTTCATGCTTGTGAATACGAGCGAATTACACAAAAAAAAAGGGAAAGCTAGCTTGCAGAAAGTGAAGTTACTCGTTTACATGAAAACTGTTGAACATATTTTATTTACTTAATACATACATGGTTTGGAGCAGAGCCTGGTGCTCAAGTACAACTATGGAACTAATTGGATGCAAGTAGCATGACGTGAATTTTCTTTGGGCAAGAATTTTTTTTTTATTGTATAGGCCCATGCTGGCATATAACATCTAAACCAATTGACATCATGCAGAATCTCATTTTTTTTTTTCTCTCATTTAAGAATAATTGTTATCATAAACAAAGCCATGGTATAACTGTGTATTGTGTTGCCTATGCAAATTTTTTTTTTTTTTAGCATAAAGCTCAGAACTGCACCATTGCTGACTGTTTAGATTGAGATGTGATATGTGATGGTACCATAATCATGTACTTATTCTGTATTTACATAGTAATATTTATGAACTTCTGAAGTTCTAGATTGCTTTTTGACTTACATATTGGAACTGAGAACAGTTCAACCATTACCATTACCATCCAATATCCATTTATGACAAAGAAAACTAAGGCTTCGTTTGGGACGGCTTTCTTACTGTTTCTTAAAACAGTTTTTTAAGATAAAAATTAAAAATTAGCTGCTTTAAAAAGTAGTAAAAAAGCCCTCCCAAACAAAGCCTAAGCCTCACGTACCGTTCTTATCGCAACATTTTGTGATTTTTGTCTTTTCCAAACTCACACAACAATAAATGGTTCAGGTATCGAGCCATCACGAGTGCTTATTATCGCGGAGCTGTGGGTGCATTGCTTGTTTATGATGTCACCCGTCGAGTTACATTCGAGAATGTTGAGCGTTGGCTGAAGGAGCTCAAAGAACACACAGATCCCAACATTGTCGTTATGCTTGTTGGAAACAAGTCCGATCTTCGCCATCTTGTAGCTGTTTCAACTGAGCATGGTAAAGAATTGGCTGAGAATGAGTCTCTCTTCTTCATGGAAACATCCGCTCTTGAATCAACCAACGTTGAAAATGCCTTCTCTGAAGTTTTGACACAGATCTACCGAATTGTTAGCAGGAAAGCAGTTGAGACTGGAGATGATGCAGCTTCTGCTGTTCCCAGCAAAGGTGAGAGAATAATTATTAAAGATGATTCCTCTGCAATGAAGAGATTTGGATGCTGTTCTAGTTAAGCTTCAAGTTCTTCAATATCTTGTTGTCTTTGATCTTTACTTTTTCTGTATCAAGTTTTTGTTCATTGTATTGCAATCCTTCTTTTGTAATTCAGTTTGTGCATTGGTAGTAATTGAAGATTGTGATTAGGACACTTGTGAAGGTAAATTTGTGATTAAGGTTTTGTTTGGGACGACTTTTTTTCTGCTTCTTAAAGCGGCTTTTTAGTACATTTTTATACTAGAAAAGTTGATTTATGAAGCAGTAAGAAATCCGTCCCAAACGAAGTCTAAATTAGAAAAAAAGATTTGGGCTGGAATTGTCATCACAGTGGAGAATTCCTGAGCTGTTTCAATCATTTTCAGTCTTGTTTATGATGTCTTTGGCAGGAAGACTGTTTGATGGGGGCTATTGGCATCTCTGTGGTTCTGCTCTGAGTTCCTTTATTAATGGCTGATTTTGTATTTATTCTGGCAGGAAATAAGTCGTTGCAGATTTTTTTCCTATTCAATTTGATATATTAATAGTGTTTTCTGTTTTTATCGGAGCCTCGGAGGGGACCCTCTCAAATGCTTCTGGTAAAATGATAATTTTTAATTTCGTATGTGATATTCTGTTTTTATTTAATGATTATTGCGTTTGGTTGTTTGTTGATTATGTTACTTGTCACAATTCTTATGTATTTATATATTTAAGTTTTAAATTTTAATATTTATTTATGTAATATGTAAAATTATAAAACACATTAACAATATTACTAATATTAATTTTTTTAAATTGAAATATTTTTTAATGTATATTTTGATGTGATTGAGATATATATGCATTATATAAATAAATATCAAAGTTTGTGTGTATATGTATGCATCCAATATGTGCATTAGATATATATGTCGTTGGTTAGGTGAAATAGTGATTATCTATTTGATGGAATTGCTAATGCAACAGATTGATAAGAAATTTTTACACTTTGGAATATACAAAAATAATAATAATTTTACAGTTATTTTGTTCAGATGGCTTTATTTTTATAATGGTTGTTTTAATTTCTTTGAAGAAAAAAATAAATTTATCATTATGTGTGTTGGATTGCATGCATCTTATGTTTATTTAATCTATAATAATTATATAGTGATTTTTAATTTTTTATTATGTGTATGTGATCTAATGTATATCATAATAAAATGTACAATGCATTCTCACAAGAGAAGTAATATAGATGTTATCTCTCTGTCACATTTTATTATCTATATTAGAAGGATTTATATTACAATATAAAAAAAAAAAAATATGTTATAAATCATATAAAAGATAATATGCATCAATGTTTTTATTGATTATTTGTATTAATTTATTTTTCTATAATTTATCATATCTCAATCTATTACATTCTTAATCACAATATCAATAACCGTCAATTGTATTAATAACAGTAATAATATTAGTATCATAATTAATAATATTAAATAGTGTTAATGATAGAAAACAATATTAATATCAGTCATATATTAGTATAGTGTTCATAGCAATGTCGGTATCAGTATTTATATATTTAAGAAATATTATATTGCCTTATTTATAGTTTTAAAAATCTTTTCTTAGCACTAAGAGAAAGAAGAGGCAGAGAACAAACTTTCCTCCTTCAAATGAAAGCTAAACACATTTGCATCAATCTATTCAGGACAACTTTTTTTTTTTTTTGCTTTGATTTTCAGACTACTAACATAATTCTATTTGATTATTGATTTCTAGTTACTTTTAAGAAATTTTTGTGTTAATATATTATTTTTTATAACAATTTTAAAAAATATCATAACAATTTTAAATTCACATTAACAAAAAATTATTTTCATCCCAAATGGATTCTGATATATCATCAAAAAATTATCTTGATCAGGCACAAATCTCAAAGCAAAATTGAGTTGAAAGCTTCCAAAATTAAATTTGAGATCATCCAATCTAATTTCAACATACTTATAGTCGAATAGATCGAACCCAACGTCACCAAATTCGACTCAATTCAAGCTCAAAGGGGTCCAAATCAAAGACTCAAAGCGCTTTTGGAAGGTTCAAACTATAATTTGGATTACCAAACAAACTCCAAACGTGACATGCGTATAGTCGAATCGAGCGGCTCAACGAGGTGAATCTAACGAGTCCAAGATCACTGAATTCTAAGATCATTAAGACATACAAATGATCAATAAATGTTCCACAATCAAAGGGATTAATATTAGCCATCCATTCAAACCACTCCCATCTTAACTTTGATCTTATCCATATTTACAAGACATGTCACTCTCATTCTTCACATGAAGGGGGGGGGGGGGGGGGGGTGGTGAAGAAGGGGGGGAGGAAATGGAGGAGTTTGAGAGCTCTCTTGCCACCGACCACCGAAAGAGTTCCTCCCGACCACAACCAAAGTTTCTTGCCAACCACCGTCGGAGTTCCTCCCGACCGCAGTCGAAGTTTCTTGTCGACCGCCGCCAGAGTTCCTCCCGACCACCGCCAAAGCTCTTACTAACCACCGTCAGAGTTCTTCCACACCATCGTCGAACTTATGCCCGTCCACCGACCACTGCTTGACTTCTGCCCGTCTGCTGACCACCGCTGGACTTCCGCCCGTCCACCATCCACCACTGGAGTTCTTCTCGATCATCGCCAGACTTCTGCCATTCTGCCGACCACTGTCGGGTTCTTCCCGACCACCAACGGACTTCCGCTAGTCCGCCGACTACAATCCTTCCCACCAATTACGGTTCTTCGGAACAACGTCGTCCAACAATGGTCCTCCTAACCTCTGCAACCCGACTATGGTCTTCCCGACCACTGTCATTCGACTACGGTCATCTCGACCTTCGTCGCCTGCCTATTATAATCTTTCGAACCTCCGTCGTCCGCCGACTACGGTCCTCTCGACCTTTGTCGCCCGTTGACTACGGTCCTTTCAAGCATCGTCGTTTTACTACCATCTTTTCGACCTCCATCGCCCAATTCCGATCCTTCCAACCACAGTCATTCGATTACGGTCCTTCCAACCTACATCGCTCGTCGACTATGGTCCTGTCGCCCAAACGAATATATCAATACTGATTCTTTCAACTCCTACCATATAATGCACTCTATATGATATATATTTGCTACTTTGAGTTAAAACCGTTCTCCTAAGGAAGGGTCTCATTTGTAATCAATTACAAGCACTAGTGAATTCATTCAAACTGGGTCAGGCCCCGTGGTTTTCACCCCTTTTCAGGGATTTCCACGTAAAAACTCTGGCGTCTCTTATGAACGCTACACCCTCTCTTGTATTTGCTTGTGTGCTGGATCTTCGTACAAAGCTACGACATTAAATTGTATATTTCTCTACCACTATGAATATTCCAGGACACAATAGATTCTAAATTTGATCAAATGATCATGCTCAATGCTCATACAAACTATATGAGAATGAACTTACATCTCTTGAATATTTTATATTAAATTTTTTGTTAAATACGATATAAAAATTATGCTAATCTCAACATAAAATGATAAAACTCAAATTTATCTTAGTAAAATTTACATCCAAATATTTAAATATAATAATTTATCTCTCTTTCCCATTGGGCAATATGAATACTGGCTAGAAGCCTACAAGCCTTAAGCAACTACATATTAAAGCCGCGGGCCCCATAACCCAAAACTTAGCCAATCCCAATTATTAGTTGATTTGCTCCTCGAAATAAATAAATATTTTTCATTAATGTCTATCCATTGCCGGCCATTTTTTTTGACGCCTGCGTCGGGACCACTTCTCGTTTCCTTGTCCGTCACGTGGCTCGGCTTCGCTTAAGATGTTCCGTACTAATTGCACCGGCTTTGTATTTGATCGCTAAATATCTGGTATGTTTCAGTCTTTCAGAATTCAGATCAGCAAATATTCATTTCCATCCAATGCAAAACTTATATTTGCACTCCCAACCCCAATTTGTTTTTTTTTTTTGCAAGTTGTTTCATCGGCAATATGGCAAGATAGTCCAAAATGGATTAGGGAGACCCTACCTACTGAAAATATTTTGAAGTGGTTAGAATTTTATTTAAAACATGTGCTCTAAGACTTCATTTGAGATAACCTGCTTACTATTTTATAAAATTATTATAGAGAAAATAATTTTTTAAAATTATTATAGAGAAAATAATTTTTTTTAAAGCCGATATAAAAATATGTTTTTGGTAAAAAATAAAAGTAATAAAAAATGATCAAATAAAATTATGATTACATTGAGAAAAACAAAACAATAAGAAAGCTATCTTGAATAAAGCCCAAGGCTTCATTTGAAACAGCTTTCTTACTGCTTTTTAAAACAACTTTGTTGTATAAATTTTTTTATAATAAAAAGTTCCTTTAAGAAGCAGTAAGAAAACTATCCAGAACAAAGTCTAAGGCTTTATTTGGGGCAGCTTTCTTACTTCTTTATAAAACAAAATGTCTTGAAAGCATGAAAAAAAAAGTGCTATAAAGCTATACCTAAAAAAAAGCCTATGTCGAAAATGGCTATGTGATTCACTTTATTTGATTTGATTGTACAATTCTAATTAGTAAACATAAAATTATATGTTGTAAAATTAAAATAATTAAAATTATCATGGGACCGAGGTAAGATAGATGAATTGAACGATCGCAGTTGGTCCTTACGTTTTTATGAATATATATTGAGGGGAAGAGTTTGTCATAGAACATTCTATGTTTTGAAAAAAATGACTTCTATCGTCAAAAAATCCTATGATGATGACCATAAAATGAATTGAGTTAGAGTAGTAGAGAAACATAGTCTATTTTGCAATAAGCATCAAAATAAATCATGGTTTAATTGATTGATTAGATCTAATTTAAATCAAGCATGAGAAAAACATGATAAAAACAAGATGCTATATTAATATCAAAACTTTTCAATGACATGTGAGGATAATGGCTGCCCAATAAGATGTGGAGGAGGACCTCCATCTTATCCTACATGTTTTTTTTTTTAAATAAGCACATGGTTTGATTTTTTATTGTACTAAAAAATATATTTTTTTTAAATTTAAGAATGTATAAAATTTGTTACATATAGAATTCTAGTTTTGCTTTTGTATTATATTCAGTGGGAGTAGGGCCATCAATAGTGATCAAATAAAAATTATGGTTGCGATCTTAAAAGCAAAGTAGTAAGTAAGCTATCTCAGATTCATTCTTGATGATTAAATAGAGTTATACATTTGTTTGCTAAGAATATTATGAATTGATTCCATAATTCTACTTAAAATATATAGCTTTAGTAGATTTAGGTATTATTTGGAACATTTTTTTACTGCTGTCTAAATTAACTTTTTACTATAAAAATTTATGAATCAAGAAATTTTTGTACTAAAAAATTACTTAAGAAAGTAATAAGAAAGTTAGACCAAACAAAATATTACTGCTCATCCACTTGTATTAAAACATTTTC